TTAATGGGATCCCTCCTATGCTTAGAGCTGACACTGTACAAAGCTAATAAATGATATGGATTGGATTTGTTACTGAGACATCTCCAAGGAGCCTGGGTCATACAGGCCAATAAAATTGGCCTCATAAATTTACCCTGACACACAGGATTACTCCAGCATTGCTGAGGTCACCTTCTCACACTGATTTATTGCCAGCCCATGGGTTAATAATACTGTTTACGGGGTTGTTGTTTTCCCCTACACGTAGCAGATATTAATCAGCACGTCCGTGCCTTTTCGGCGCTCTGTGGGCGGGTGCAGCGCCGGGGAGACGTGGGGTGAGGACATGGTGGGGAGGGCGAGCTTGATTTATTTCCTAGGCCAGACTTTTTGTGTTTAAAAAACCTTCCGAAAGACCTCCGCAGGAGGAGCGAGACCTCCCCATCAGCGAGTCCCGAGGGCAAGGAGGACGCACCGGGGGCGTTTTTGGCCGTTCCCATCATTGGCACGGCGCGCCGTGCTTGTGCAGCACACACCGACCCCTGTGGGAGCACTGGAAAGCGTTGCCCAAATTTCTGCTCCATCCAAACACACCGGCAGTATGTAAAAGCCAGACAGCCCCCGGGACACCTCCATCCGTACGTCCCTGTGCCCGTGTGTCCATGTGTCCGTGTGTCTGTCCCTGCCCGGTGACATTCCCAGGACCTTTCCCCGTCCCCTTCTCCAGCACCAGGAGCGGCTCCGTGCGCTCGGCAGCCCAGACCCGGGGCAGGCAGCCTCGCTCCTGCTGCTTCGTGTTATTTTCATCCTGCCCTAATAGGAGGGGACAGGTGAGATGTGCTTCAAAACACTGTAATCATATTTTAAATGGAAATGAAATGTGTGAATTAAATGTAAATTACGGCAGAATGGAAGGACAATCACTATTAGTTAAGGTCTGACACCTATTTTTGCAGACCTTTCCTAAATGCCACAACTTGTTTCTCCGCACTTGTGACGAGGACTTGTAATTACGTGGCAGCTGCTCCTGCAGCCGGGCGGGCGGCGGGTACCGAGGGGGGCCGGCGTACTTCAAGCAGCGATGGGCTGCTCGTTGGTGCTGCGAAATTATGAAGCAGCAATGATATTTTTATTCGGGACCCATGAAAATAAACCTTGGTGTTTTCCCCCCTGAAAAGGTGAAGCGGTAATACAAAAGGACGTTTTTATAGAGTCAATTTATTTAAGGGTTCCCCCATTTGCTTTTATATTGGAAAAATATGTGCCCTGCCAATGAGCCAAAATTTCTTCTTTATCTTTAATCTCTGCCCCACCTCCCCCGAGCCTCTGGCTGTTCCTACAGCCCCGCGGTGCCTCGCAGCCTCCCAGCGAAGCCTCGCTTGATTTTTCTTGATGGGAAGCACCCAAAACCCCTCGCCAGCCATGGCACGGGGTGGTGCACAGGGACTGCCCCTGGGGATGCTGCAAAGCCAGGCAGCAGGCAGGGATTTGCTCCTGGGGATGGGGATCTCCCACAGAGGGGTCAGAAGTGGCACTTTGGGGCTGGGGCACAAAGGGGGAGGAGTTGGTCGCAATACTGAGACAACTCGTGCACCCGTCCTTGGGTGGCATCTTCATGATTCAGAGATTTCCTCCCGTGCCCAGTGTCCCGCCTGTCCCCCCATAAAGATAAAAACATTTACAGATCCCATCACCACCGGGGTGGCTGTGGGAACTTTTCAGCCAGGAAAAAAAAGGAGCAGCCCTGTCCCGAGGAAGCTGAAAGCTAAGCACTGATTTAACCTGCTGGTAGTACCCGCGGCTACTTGGCAAGTTTTTGATTTTCTAAGTACTGGACAGCAAACAGTCAAATGGAAACTGATAGCTCTGAGACCCTGAACATATTGTCCAGGACATTTTGCTCTGATGTGTATGAGCTTAGGTGAGGAAACGCCTGGCTCTGGGCATCACGGGGGGCGTGCAAATGTCATTTTACGCACTCGCAGACATTTAGCCACACTCGCAGACATTCAGCCACACTCCAGCAGCAGGGCTGGAGCAAGAAGCAGGTTTTGTTCATTTCTCAGGTTGCCCTTCCCCTTTTCAAAGCAGAAGATTATTTGCACTTAATTTCTTGCAATGCTGTACAATCCCATACATCATCCCGGGTTGGGATAATCACAACATTTAATTCCAGTTTCAATAGTTCTTACAGATATATATATATGGTACATTGAAACAAAATGCGTTTTGAAATGGAAAAAAACCCTATGCCATTTAATTCCTAAAAGGTCAAACTGAAATGCTTTGGCCTTATCGAAATGATTTTCTCCTTTGATTTTTCTTTCCAAATGCAATTTCATCAAAATCAGTGCATTTCCGCAAATGTTTCACCTTTGGTGAAATGGCATCCTCTGACAGGGAAGGGCTTGGTGCGGAAGCTCCTGACCAGCTCTTGTGGATGCCGGCAGGAGAGGAGCAGCCAGGAGTGAGCCTGGGGCTGGCCCCGTGGGCACCGAGCTGTGCCAAGCTGTGCTGGGCTTTGCCAGCTGTGATGCCACGGTGCACCTCGCCTCCCTGCCCGGACCACCGCAGGACGCGTGGCTGTGATGTGCCAGAAATTCAGAGAGAGGTTTGCAAGAAGTGAAGACACAAACCAACGCAGGGCAGAGGGGAAAGCAGCAGCTAACTATGGGCAGAAGAGCCCAGGGGTCGGATGGACAGCACTGCCATGAGAGTGAGCACGCACCAAGCCACGAGGCTTTGCCCCACGGACAAGCACCAGGCAGGACTTTTTCAAACCAAGCTGTTCTGGCTGGAAACCAGCAGCGAGGAGCCCTGGTGAGGGCTTTTTCCAGTGCTGCAGTGCCCGGCCACTTGTGACATGAGCACAGAGCTCAGCCTGTGCCCACGCACCGAGCGGGCTGGGGCCGTGTGCCAGGGCTGGCAGCGGCACGGCACCGACCCCTGGCACGGCCACAAGAGCTGGGCCAGCGATGGGACGAGGGGATGAGGGCGATGGGATGAAGGGGAAATGGCTCTCATTCCTATCAGGTGATTCACCGCCCTGGCCTGAGCCGAGTCCTCCCTCCTCCCTGAGCATGCGGGGAGGATCCAGAGCCTTCCTGCCTGTTTTTACAAAGCTTGCAGCATTGTCAGGAAGGAAAGGGTACCATCTGGTTAGCCCTTGTTTACTGCACACCCTGCCAGTTTGAGCTTATTAATCATATTTACCCAAGTATCTTAATTACTCCCTGTCTAGCGACTTGCCTTGCACTCAGCTGTTGACCCGCTCCCCTCCCCTCTCCCTCGCTCTTTTTTCCCCCTTCTTTTTAATTCCGTTCTATCATTAATCACAGCAGCGGCGTGGGCAGAGGAATCCGCAGCTCGCCTCGCACCGCCGTGGTGCCGCGTTCACCGTGGCTGGGCCAGAGCTCACCGCCAGCCCCTGGAAAACTGCAGCATGGCCAAATGCAATCGGGTGCCCAGGACCCCATGGGAGACCTGTGCCCAGCTTGGGTGCTGCTGGGTGCTGCTGGGGTCCCTCCCTGCCGTGCCGGGGCTCACCAAGCCGGGGCTGGCGGAGGGCGTGAGCGCACGGCGAGGAGCCACCATTAAGGATGGTAATTTGTTGATCCAGGCTCTCCCGGCGCTCCAGCGCGAGAGTGGCACCGTTTTCTTTACGACCTCATAAAGTCACAGCCGAGAGGCCGATTTGGAAAACAAACTGCCTCAGGTTGACAGATAATTAGATACAGGGGACATATTATACGCCTTTGCATATAAATGCGCTCTGAAGCACGTTGGTTCATCAGAAGTTTAGGCTACAGGAGGAGCAGGTAGTCCTGGCACATCAGGATATATGCCCCGGTGCCGCCTGGAGACGACGGCTCCATTTTATGGCCCTTTCAGCTCCCGTTTGCTGTGTGCTGTGAGCGAGGCTGATTTTTGGAGGCCGAGCTGCCCGGTTCGGTTTGGGCTGGGCTGCTCCTGGGCAGCCCCGCGAGCTTCCCCCTTCCCCTGAGACGGGGCTGGCGCTTTGCATCTTGGATTTTATGCTCCCATGCTTGCAGCAGGGAGGAGTGGCTGAGCGGGGATTCATTACTATTATTACTATTTTTGTGTTCCTATATCATGTCCAAACCTCACTCTTCCCGCGAGCGAGCCCGCTGAGAACAGCGGAGCAATTCGGGGCTGCCACGGCCCTTGTATTTATTCGGCAATTCGGCATCCTGCTCTCCCAGCCCCCGAACCACGAGGTTCCAGATATTAAAACAAAACAAAACAGTTGGGGTTCCTTTTATGCACTTCAAGATTTAAGGTGCCATCCAGCCGGGTTGTCAAGCTCTCAGGGTTTGCTTTTCCAAATGGAAGCCAAGATCCCTGCACGACCACACGTCCTGCTGGGGGTGTTTGCAGAGCAGAACCCTGCCGTGCAGGATTTGACCAAATTCTGTACACATTTTGCATGTACCTCTGCCCTCCCTTTTCAGAGGTTTCTCCCCCTCCAGATCGGCTCTGCCCCACGCTCAGGTAGCCTCTCTTTCCCAGCTCCCCCCCCTACATCTCCCTCTATTTTTGGGGGGAGGCAGAAAATGTCAATTAAACGGCCATGTTCCCAAGGAAAGCTTCATTATCAATCATTCTCCCCCAGAAAGGGAAAATAAAAATGTGTGTGGGAAAGATAAAGCTGTCAGAAAAGGAAAGGGAAAAAAACATCCAACCCTGAACCCCCAGCAGCCCCCATGGAAGGAGGCGATATAAATAGAGTCGCTGTCACTTTGATGAATTAGATCTTTTGTTAATTAGGATACATTGATTTAAGGGTTGTCCAACCAGATAGACCTCTCTCCCTTCCCTTCCCTCACAAACTGCAGCCCAGGGTGGCGGCAGTGCACCCTCACCCTGCCTCTCCCTGCCTCCTGCTTCAATTCCCTGTTTCCACTTCTGCGTCAGAAGGGAGCCTGGGCAAATCCTCCCCGGTGACGTGGCAGAGCCAAGGCTCGAGCGTGCCTTTGGTGGGCAAAACGCCGGTGAGGTGAACTGTGGGGTGTTTCTGGCCAGGATTTATCGGGGCTGGGGGCTGTGATGGGGTCCAGCCCCACATTCAGCTAGGGATTAAGCAGGAGCCTTGCTTGGGGTGCAGGAGCCAGCCAGGCCAGGCAGAGCGAAGCACCCGTGCCATTTGGGGAACGTCGGCCATGGAGGGTTTGCACAGTGTGAGTCAAGATCAGGGCTCCAAAAAAAACCACCCTGTCATCTGCAGCTGAGGCTGCGTCTCCAAGTGCACGTGGGCGCTGCGTCAGCAGCACGTGGAGCAGCCAGAATTCAGCAGGTGGCACAACGCAGGGCCCTGCGTGCCTTCCCTGAGCTGCTCTGGGGGGCTGCAGAGCCCTGGGCACTGAAATCGTGTCCCCCTTGTGCCCTTTGTGAACTGGTGACCCCTGGTTTTGGCCCCAACAGCAGCTCTGGGCTCAGGTGGGCCCTGGCTTTGTGCTCCTTGCACCCGCAACCTCTCCTGCTCCTCCCCGCGGCCCCTCGGCAGCTCTCCGGGCTTTGCAGGTTTCTCTGTGCCTCCTGTCGTCACTCGAGCACCAGCGAGTCCGAGGGAGAGAGGGGAGAAAAAGTGCTGTGCTGTGTGGATTATTGTGTGTTTGTCATCTGGAATGGTATAAGCTGTAGGTACAGCATCTCCCAGCGGTGATTTATGGCCCCTGTCAGGCAGCACCAGCGCTTTGTCTGCTGTAGCGTGGAGGATGAATGCGGCGCTGTCAGCACGGGCAGGGCAGTCTTTCTCTCGCTCTGCTCCGCACACTCGCTCCCCATTTCACGCCACTGAACATAAACAATCTTTTGTAAACCTGACAGTCACACTTGCTTCTTTGGAAACATAAAGCAGGAATGTATGACTCGGCTTTCATTACCCAATTTCCTGGGCTGTGCAGAGAGCTCTCTCCAGGAAGACGGGGAAGGGGAGACCCCAGAGGGCTGGAGAGATCCCAAAAAAGGTACAGAAAAGGGCTGCACCCCCCTGCAGGTGGATCCCAGCACCCACCAAAAACACCCGTGCCCTCGTACATGCTCTGCACCATGATTCACGCACAGATTTCCCACCACAGCTCTGGCACCAAGGTGCCCGCTGCAGGCAGCGGCTCTGCCTTCCCGGAGCAATGCTCATCACCAGCCTCAGTTTTTGCCCAACATCTTCCTTCCTCAAGCAGAAAATTTAACAGCAGCGTAACGCCGGGACCACAGCCTGCTCGGTAATGGGCTCCCATGTGCCCACCAGATGTAACAGCCTTACAAAAGCTAATGCGCTGTTACTGCTATTAAGGGTAATTGTAATAATCCTTTATCCGGAAAGAGCCCAAAGCTCTCTGGTCAGCCCCAGCTTTTCCCGAAGCCAGAGTTCAGAAGGCACAGTGGGAAATGGGGAGAAAGGCGGGGGCAGAGCCAGCCGAGGAGCCCTCCCCAGCCCCAGGGGCCCCAAAATGAGGAGCTCTGCATCAGCCTGCCACAGGTGAGGCAGGATTGCTCCCAGCACCTGGGGCTACCCCAGGGTGCAGGTGAGGTTCCCAGCCTTGGTGTGAGCTGTGATGAGCTGTGATGAGTGCCAGGAGTGGGAGCACGCAGGGTGGTGGGGCTCGAAACACTGGTGGGGATGTGCGCGCTCACCGGCAGTGTGCAGAGCCCCTCGGTGATGGGTAGCGGGGAGGTTCAGGCACTGGCATAAAGCACAGTGGATTTAAAACCTGCCAAGAGGCAGCGTAAATGCTGTTGATCTTGTGGATGCTGCAAAAGGTCTGAGGAGCAGGGTCCGGCCCAATCCTGCTGCGATTTACTGCTCCTGCGCCGAGCGAGAGGGCGAAACTCGCACGGAGAGCCCTCGCCTCGCCGCCGTGTTTTGCAGCAGCAGCTGCAGCCGTGCCAGGAACATCTCTTCCCTGACACTCTCCTCCTGATCCCGGCCCCGGTGCTCTGCTTCTCTCCTCTCAAATCCTTCCTTGTGACTTTGGGATCAGGGACGCCAGGCAGGAGGTGCGGCAGAGGAGAGAAATCGCTCGCAAATCCTTTGCTGTTTTCCTTTCCAGATGGTTTGGTTTGGAAGTTCTTCCGTGTAAGCCTGAGCGCTGAGTCCTGAACATCTGCTGAGGAGGAGCCCGCTCAGTGTAAATGCAGAGAGGCTGCTGGAAGGGCACATTTCGGGAAGGTTTCAGGCTCCTGGTGTGGCTCACCCAGCAGCAGCCCGTGGCAGTGGCTGTAGCTGTGCCAAGGACACCTAGAGCTTAGGGAGACGCACCCTTTAAAAAAAAAAAAACAGTTGCATAAATCTGAAGAAGCAAACAAGCTGGTTTCTTACTTTGTGGCCTTTTCAAGGAGTTTTAAAACAATTATTTATACTCGTGAGCACAATCAAGTAGCTGTTTTAGTGGCTGCACCGCCTCTGTGCTTTTAGCTGCTGAGAGCGCCTGCATTAGCGGCCGGGCCGGCTGGGGCTGACCGTGCTGGAGGCCTGCAGGAACCACAGAAAATATGAGTAACCAGTTCAAGGGATCAGGGAGAGGAAAGGAAACTTTCCTGGCAGGTTGCTGCTCTGGGCTCGCTGTCGGCTCGGGGGTGACTCGTTGTTGCCACGACCTCATGGAGAGTGCCCGTGTTTGTGCAAGGGCTGCCGGGTTCGCCGGGAGCTTCCTGCGGGAGGGATGAACCCGGAGCCGTGCCAAAAGTGGCACCAAATCATTCATGCACAAGTAGGAATAATTGCGACAGCAGACGATGTATAAAGAAAAAAGGAAAAAAAAAAGGCTGGGGAAGCCTGAGAGATGCTCGGCACCCGGTGCAAGCGCTGGGCTGGGGGCTGACGTTTGCCTCCTGCCTCCTCCCGTCCTGCTGCCAACACACGAGAGACCCCAAACCATGGGGGTCCCCCCAAAAGCTCTTCAGCAGCGGTCCCAATGACCTCTGAGCAAGCTCTGCCCTTCGTCCAACCTGCCCCTGCACATGCATTTGGGTGTCCATAAGCACATGTGGATGTGTACGCTCATCTTGGAGTGTGCAAGAGAAGCAAATCCAAGGTCCCCTCTTGCACTTTGTGGGGAGAGATGTGTAAACTACCAGCGTGGGCTGGATTTCTTCCTTTTCGACTCCGACCCATGGATTTTAATAAGAGAAACCTGCTACAGCACGGCAATCTTGCTATGGTGAGAGCAGAATTAGACAGCCAAGCCAATTGACAGGGCATCTCTTACACTTTACGCAGGATTTTAATTTTAATGAACCCGCAGTGGTTGCAAGGTTACATCTTCAAATCCATTTCACCCTCCTCCCGTCACACCATAATCATAAATAGCGCTGGCTTTAGAGAGGTGTTGTGTTTAATTGAAAGTTCACTCGCAGCTTCCATCAATTTGCTTTCCTGTCCCCTACAAACAACCTATCATTTTAGTTAAGGACAAAACCAGAAATTTTATGGAAAACAAGCTGCTTGCAGAGAAATGATAATTAGGTGACTGTTTTGGAGGCCAGAACACTAAACAACAATTCAATTATGTCGTTCTCTGCTCTTTTTTCATACCAAAATAATTGTTGGTGTATGGGAACTACTGAAAAAAGATGGGACCAGCTGATTTTTGTGGTGATAAGCGCAGCTGGGAACAGAGGGTCCCAGGCCCCATTAAACACCACATGGACTTTGCTGCTACTTTGAAGAAATTTTAGAGGGAAAATACACACTGGAAAAAAAAAAAAAGTGGAAAATTGTTTAGCCCTTTCCACCTAATTTGACCTCCTTTCTCCTTCCCAGAGACAAAATAGAAACCAGACAGGATTTGGGAAAGCTGAGGGAAGGGGAAAAAAACTATTAAAAAAAAAAAAAAAAAAGATTTTCCCTGAAATAAATACGCTGATGTGCTGCCTTTGTGCTGCACAAACACAGAGCCACAGACGCACGCAGATACCCACACCTCGGCCCCGCACCAGGGACAAAGCCACTTGCCCAACACTTCTGCTGGAAAAAAAAAAACAGCCTTTAGTTACAGGGGAAATGTTTCCATCGCACAGGTGGAGGACACAGAGGGAGAAAGCAGCAAACTCTGGAGCTGGGCTCCCTCTAAGGACCAGTGCCACCACCCCCAGCACAGCCCCTCCTTGGTCAAGCTAAAAGGCAGAGCCAGGCCAGACGCCTCTAAGAGATGAACAAGCTTAAGGAGATGAACGAGGTTTTTGCTCTCATAATTTAGCCTCTGGTGCTCAGAGTGTTCACGCATATTTCAGACGGAATCGACATCCTAGGAGGAGCAAGGCAGGATATAGAGCAGCAAGATTTAGCTAACGTATAACCTGCACCCGCCTCGATCCCCAGCCAGGTAGTGATGGAAGCGCCTCACACATCGTGTGCCTGCAGGTAGGGTGAGCTTGCTGTAAGTGTAAAAACAACCCCAAAGTCAACCAGCTGCTACCAAACTACAAAGAAAACCATCGCAGTGCATTCCTGTAATACCATGATCCCAGGCTGAGCCGTGCCATGCCACGTGCTGTCCATTTGGCTTTGTGTGCTGGGCTCATGCTGGTTTAGCTGCAAAACTGAACCCACGTGGAAAACCAAATACTGGGCACTGAACTTTCTTAGAAGAAAATGGCACGTGCATGCTTGAGATCGCATCCAGGGCCTCATAACTGTACCAAGGGGTGGCTTCAGCTCCTGCCAGCTACACCCTGCTTGGGTAAAACCCCTTCCAGCTTATTGCAACTCCTCTCGAGTTTTCATGTTGTTTCCTTGTGCTAAAGGATCCCTCCTAAGCTGTGCCCATCCCAGCTGGCATCATTTCCCCCCGTCCCACTCGGGGTGAGCACACTTATTTCCACAGGGAGCATTGATTATTTTTCCTGCAGCTGCACTTGCTGTGCACAGGAGTTATGGGGCTTTCCACACCTGCGAGAGAAACATTATCCTCAGCCTTCAAGGGTGAAGTATCCTATATTTAGTTGGACTAAATAATGATTCTTCTCTATCTTTCATATCAGGATTTAAGAGCACCCTGGAGCTACAAAGTTTATTAGAACCCATAAGAAGAACTGTACCATAAACGGGACAACCGTGGCCATAAACCTGCACCTTGAAGTTGTAACAAATCCTGGGATGTTGAAGTAGGACACGGTCTTGTCTCAGTCAGCAGAAAGGAAAAGAAAAAAAAAAAGGAAAGAAAAAGGGAGAAATGCAAACTTAAGCAGAAAAGAGGCCTGGAAATACAGAGGAGAAGAAAGGGAAAAAAATAATAATAATAAAGAAAAGCACGCTGCTTGCATAGTCCTCTCAGCAGGAGCCCTGGGAGAGGCGCCCACATGATAAAACACAGCTCGGGTTAATGGGGAGAGAGCAAGGGGCGCCCGTGGGCGGAGAGGGCCGAGCGGGTGGGAGGCAGGAGGTGCGCGGTGCTGCCGGGTGGTGGGATGCTCACACTGACTGCTCCTCATGGCCCGCTGCCAACAGCACGAGGGGACAAAATCACAGAGACTGGGGGCAGAGGCACGGCCCCAACATGTGCTGGAAATGGGCTGGGGGTCCTCGTCCCCTCCGTGCCACCCCACAGCCCCTGGGACCCCGGGCGCATCATGCAGCCACTCCGTGCTTCTTCTCCACTGGGCTTCCCCTCCTCAGATCTCCTATCTCGTCACTCTTTCATCTCCAATTTCCTTTCCTTGGTACCCAAAATAACCTCATTCTCAACCTCCCTGCTCCCTCCATTTCTACCCCTACCCATGCCCGGGGGCTGAAGCATCGTGGTTCGAACACCTCCTGCCCTCTGTGGCCACCGCGGCCGCGTGAGCCCAGGACCCAGCTCTGGGCTGTGGAGCCAGAGAGAGCCCATCCCTCCCCGCCAGCCCTCACTCTTTGTCACATTGGGTTATTTTTGCTGCTGTTGAATAGATTAAATGACAGAGGGCTTTTTTTTTAAAGTAATTGAGTTTTATTTTGGAGAGGGAAAAATGGAGAGCTAAGTGGGAAAAGGAGAGAGATAGGAATAAACCACACATCTTTTTATATAGGATCCACAGTTAATTCTTAATTAGAACTGACAGATGCTTCTCCCATAATCCTATTCCCAACATGTTCTGTTTGCTTTGTTTGGCGCTGCATGATACATGGTGGCATCGTAATGACCTTTTGCAACTCGTCCTGGAAGTGTTATTGGCACTCCAATGATTTATTGCATGTTCCAGTTGATTACTGGGCCATTTGTCAACATTTTTTTTCGCTCTCCATAAACCTGTCTCCTGTGTCACAGACATTCGCTAGCATGAAAATTTAAACAAATACAGTGTGCGGCTCGCAGGCAGCGTCTGACTCCTACTCCAGGCTTCCAGCACAAATTCATTCTGGCCTCAGCAAGCGTTTAAACTTTGCAACGCTCGAGGACGAGGCGCTGCCTGCAGAGTGCATCAGACAATGGGAGACCTGGGCATTGCTTTGAGAGTCTTATTTTAGAAAGCTATCTCCGGGTGATCCATGCTACTTGCTCAATTGTTTATTGGCGTTTTGGTACCACTTATGGGAATGTGGGAAAATCAGTACTGGAATTAACCACCAAAATAATTATCCTTAAAATGACTGCCTGAGGATAGGCTGTGTTCTCCTCCGCAATTACCACCACAGATTTTTTGCAGCAGGGAGAGGAGCTGGTGAGAGGAGCAGGGCAAGGGGCTGGGGGTACTGGGGGCTACCCTGGGGCTGTGCAAGCCCCCCGACCCCACACATCTGGAAGCACAGCCCAGGGCAACCAAAGCCTTGCTACAGAAAGGAGGCTTTTGGGACAACTGCAGAGCAGACATCACTCAGCTCAGTAATGCTATTTTGAGTAGATAGGTTAGGGATCGGGGAGGGGATGGGATTCAGACTGACCAGAATTCTAAGGCCAAAAATGCAATTATCATGGCCTGGAAAGGGACAGATTCCCTCGTGCCGATGAAGTCCCAGGTCCCCAGGGCACCCTGAAATGGCTGCCACGAAGGGAAGCACCCAGAGCCACCTGATTTAAAAACCCTGGCCCGTCACTAAACGGGATGTAGTGGCTGTTACAGTGGCCTGGAGCATCTGCACTGCATTTCGAGGAAGCTTTTCCAGGCACTCGTATAAATCACCGCTCCTTGCTGCAGTAAAGGAAAGGTATTGTTTCACTGCTGTGACATCAATGCAGGCCACATAAATAATTTTTTATTAAGTGTGCAGTGCCCTGTAAAAATACACACACAATTTGAGGATACTGCAGAGCGAATGCAGAAGCACGGCCAGCTCTAAATAGTC